GCTGTGGATGTAAGCAACACTTCAGGTGTCATTGTCTCCCATCACTCCCTGAGGGACGTCAGAGAAACAAGCTCAGGGCTCCCGTTAGTCATTATCGTGAGTTAAAATTATCACGAAAGTAAAATGCTTGTTTTTGTGGCGCATCTGTATCTTATTTTGAAGGGATATGTAAACGTTACCATAGCGACCAGAGTATAGAGCGTTTGGGCAGTGGTCGAGAGGAGATGAGTAGAGCTTGTGAGTCTTAAGTCTGGTTTAGACGGCAAGATATAAGGATTGCCGGCCGATTCTCCAAACCTCTGTGACCACAGAGCTGATAAAAGTACAACAGGTTCGATCGGTTCGTGTTCAGCCACAAGGCAGGAGCAACTCGAACCGATTCCAGAGGATAATCCAGTAAAACCCCCAACATAGCAAACAGGAATTTAGAATAACCAAACACAGATGACGATGTAGTGATAGTGATAGTTTGTGGAGTCATTTTAAGAGATAAAACACGAAACAAAAAGAAAAGGCAGTGGATAAAAGACGACGGTAGCAGCCGCTCTATTTGCTGCACTATGATTTGGAGGTGAATATGTTTTTTCATAGTTAACATTTTTAACTGAATAAACATAAACATATATAATAACGACCTTTACATATAATAATAAACATTTCCACATATCATCTCCGATATCCACCGGACTCTCAGTTGCGTGATATGTCACCTATTTGGGATTCCCCTCTGTTCTGACTTCACCGCACTTTCTGATTGGCTACCTGTCACATTCAACAGGTTGTATTCTCGTTCCCAGTCAGGGAAAACCCCACAGGCTGCGATAAAAAGGCCAAGACAACCCAAATTGGGCATATTCAGTATTTAGTGGGAACACCAACATGCAGAAGCCTTATCCTTATCCCCCCCATCCCCCTATCCCCCGGGCCGCAACAAAATGTCCAAGTCTTGACCGGTCCGCGGTAATAAAAAGGTTGGACCACTGATTTAGCACATGCTAGTAGCAGACACGAAGGATCAGCACTTTTACTGTTACAGTTACCGTTCGGAAACTACCATAATCAGTTCTGTTAAATCTAATCTTGGCAACTTTTTATTTTTCAATCCTAATAAATGTGATATTCAATTGACCTGTTATGACTCAATTTTTGGGTGTCCGCCCCCCTCTGCTGCTGCTGCATTGGTGTAGAAAACCTGGAGTGGCAGAGATATCTGCGGCTTATATGTGCATGTTTACTGGTTTATTAAAAAAAAAAAAACTTTGGGGTTGTGGTTTATAGTCCGGTGCGGCTCATAGTTCGGAAAATACGGACTATAATCCTTACTGGATTTTTTTCTGTGAAGAACCCAGAGAATGTTATTTGATTGTGCTTTCTGGAAAACAATATATTTTTACATTTAGGCATTCCTCCAAACGTCACACTTTTTCTGTTACAAATTGACTCCGGCCCCCCACCAGAGAAAGGAAAAGTTATGTGGCCCTCACAGGAAAAAGTTTGGGGACCCCTGCTCCACAGGAAACAGACTGTACGAATGAATGCTGAAACCACTGAGATAGTCTTAATGATATTGCAATATGCTTCCACTGTAACAGTGGCTTCCGCTGAATACTAAACTTGCTGCATGAGTCAAGACGATTTTTATACACTACTCTTCACATGCAACCGCTTTTGGAAATACTACAAACCAGTTCCCCGCTGACCTCTCGCGCTCCTCCTCCAGCAGGTTGGTGAACTCGTCGCTCTTCCTCATGAACTCTCCGTGGTTCCTCTTCTCGTCCTCCAGCTTGTACAGAGCCTGCTTGTGGGCCTGCTCCACCATCAGGAGCTGCTCCAGCATCCGCCGGTGGGTCTCCCTCTGCTTCTCCACTAACTTATCGAGCTGTGTTGGGTTAACAGAGAACATCTGGGTTATCTGCCTCTCCAACCATATAGCAGTCATTTGGCAGCCATTATTGCCACATTGGTTGAGATTTTTGACTGTAAACTGCTGTTACCTCTGCCATGGGTTTCTCGTAGATGTCTTCCTGGAAGACGTCCGACTTTCCCTGGATGGCATCTCTCTGCAGGGCCTGCAGGACTTTCTGTGGTGTGACAAACCCATACTTGGCTTCCAGCAGCGCCAAGTCGATTTTCTCTGCCTTTAGGACTGTGATCACCTCATCCCTGGCCTGTGATGGAGCAGAGAGTGATTGCAGTCAGACCAAACTATGCTTTACAGGATGAAACTTTACATCCACATCATGTGTATCCACATCCAGCAACAAGAGAAGTAATTCCTATTAGAAGTTCATATATGCAGAATATCAGAATGAAGCCTATATGGTTCACACATAACTATAATGATGGTTTAATGGGTTACACAAAGTATATATAGCATATTTTCAGTGGACGTTATAAATGTGCTGTGAACCCTCATATTGATCTGTTTGTGGATTTTTCTGTGAAATGTAACTCCAAGTTATTCATGGAAAATATGTCTGATTTTTGTAGAATATATCTAAGATATTCAAAAGAAAATACAGCTTTAGTAGCTGAAACACCACAGCGCAATGCGACTTAAAACACTATTAGGTGTTGTTGCAAAACAGTCAATCGATAAGCGTCATTCATTTTCCTTACTGCTGATTGGCAGTATCCCTAAGATTAGAGATGAGGAAGGTGTTAGCTTCTGAGGTAATACTAAGACAGTTTCCAATGTGTATTAGTGCATATTAAGGATGCATTCACCAGCCCTGTTTTGTTCACCTTAATCTAAATCCAGTTTGTTTGTCTAGACAGCCTGGTTTGTTTGAGAAGGTGTGAATGTGTTAAACTTTGATGCGGACAAAAAAAGCGAACTCTGGTCCGCCATGGTTCGCTTTTTTGTCTTTTTTGCCAAAGACGAAAAAGAAATCCTAAAATCCAACACAACTCATTTTTTGTTTCCATTTGCTGAAGAAGGAAGTTTATGCTCAGTGTCTTCTTCTGAGGTTTTTGTGTTGTTTCCTTCAGTGGTTCTTGGTGGAGTGATGACCAATTAGATTAAGCTCAAAAACCACGTTTGTACCAAAAACTCAACATATTTAAGCAAACTCTGCCAAGAAAAAATGCCAAATATCTCAGCAGAATGATGCCAGCAGCTCGTGGAAGTTCTGCAGAAAGTGTTCAGTTGAGGTGAACCTACTAAGTAAGAAACATCAGCAAGGGTTGTAGAATTGCTTTAAACATCTCACCAGAACTGTGGATCTCATCTAACTGTAGATCAAAACATCAGCCTGTTAAAGCAACTTTACTACTAAATAATATAAATACATTTGGAGTTTTGACCATAAACTTCCACAGCCTATTTTTGGGGCCGAATAGGTCCCAAAAATAGCCCCAGACCTGCCTCTGGGGGCCGAGGCAGGTCTTAATTAGCATATCACCGCTACAGTAATGAATGATTCTTTTCCAGCTTATTTAACCTCATTTATAGACCTTTTATAGCTCCTGAAACCTGCCAGGGGATTCCTGGATCTGATGCTGTCTGTAAACACAGGCGTGATCACCGCCTACTAAGCCCACTATGCCAGGATGTTTGACCCTTCTATCCAACTGGGGTCAGTGCCATGTCTGCAAGACGCTCGGCTTATTATGAATTGGCAGCAGTACCTGTGCATTTTAAATTACCTGTAGCTCTCCTTCCAGTAAACTCAGGAGAAACACCAGGTCATCCCGGGAGAGGTCCCTGCCCTTCTCCCGTCGGCCGGCCCTTGCAGCGCTGCTGCCATTGGGTCTTCCAGCAGTGCCGGCGCTGTTTTTAGCCACATTGTTGTTCCTTTCGACGGTCCCAGTGTTGGCTGGCAGCTCTTGACGCCTACTGCGGTGTTCTGCTCTACCCGGGTGCTCATCTCGCTCTGCGGATTGCTTGCGTGTGTCCATGTTCTGCTGCTGAGCCAGTTTGAGCTTTGCTACGTCTTCTAGGCTGTTGCTGCGGGAACGCATCTTCTTCCACCTGTTGATGAACACAACATTGAATTCAAAGTGTGGTCACTGAAAGACTGAATTCCTGCTACATGCACTGTGTTTGTGACCAATTATATGTTACTTAGTTGACCAACAATGGAGACAAAATGGGAGATTAAAATGTGGCGAATTACTCATAACCCAATTACTAAAAGACCTGAAGTTTGCTATGATATATTTCAAACCAGATAGATTTCATGGATGCAGAGCAGAACCAAAGAGCATTTGTTTTCTTTTTTTACACAAAAGTCCTCTTCTCCCTAAGCTAAATGATTTTAAACAATAATAATTTTGATTGCAGAGCACTAATAGTCCATTTAAATGATTGTTTTATTTATTTATCTTGAATATTTAAGGTGTTCTCCAGCTCTAGTGTTAAATATTTCTTAGAAATTAATGGGTTTTCTTATCTTTGATATATAATACGCCATTCTTATTACATTAGTTGAAAATGATCTCAAAATGACAAAATTTACCCATTTAATCCCACCGGCAACAATTGTTGCCAGACATTTTTTCTAACTTCTGGAAGCTCTAGAATAATTGTTTTGACTTTTGGCAGCTATTTGAAGTTTTAAAATCAAATATTAGGGTGTCTATTCTAAACAGTATCAATTTTATGTATCTAGTGTGAAAGGCCACATGACCAGTCCTGTTTACTTCCTGCCTGTGACGCTGGAGGTTAATGTCTGTCACAAACCTCAACAAGAGGAAGTCAGTAAAATATTTAAATAAAC